ATCACAGTCTAATAAAACGAATTGAGATATTCCTTTATTGCCAACTGATATTGCTTGTTTGTAAGGGCTTTTGCAGCTCCTTATGTTAAAAATTGTCATTTTAATTCCATCTTGGTAATTTTTTACCAAGTTAATTGATGCTTATCAAATTGGCACATTTTGCCCTACATTTGCCAAGGGCCATTAAGATTTTCTTGAAAAATAAGATAAAATTCATTACGAAAAAGAACACATTAGCAAGGTGATAAGGCATCACCCAACTTTGATCCCACTGGTCTCATACTAATACCCTTAAACCGAATGACAAAATCTGATAATCTTTTCACCAAACAACCACTATCATAGTCCAATAATACAAACCAAGGTATTATTTTATTGTCAAATGATATTGGTTATTTGTAATGACTTTCAGATGTCTTTTATATTAAAAATTGTCATTTTAACTCCATCTTGGTAAATTTTTACCAAGTTAGTAGATGGTTAACAGATTGGCACATTTGGCACCATATTTGCCAAGGGGCCATTAAGATTTATTTTTTTTTGTTGAAGAATAAGATAAAATTCATTAGGAAAAAAATACATTAGGACGGTGATAAGCCATCGCCCAAAGAGAAAATAATTCTAAAAGCCCAACTTTGATGTCACAGATCCCATACTAATACCCGTAGAACTGAATGGCAAAATCTTATCATCTTTTCTCTAAACAACCTCTATCATAGTCCAAAAAGCAACCTCTATGGCTTTTGCATGCCTTTATATTTCAAATTGTCATTTTATTTCTATCCTGGTAATGTTTTACCAAGTTAGATGATGCTTACCAGGTTGGCACATTTGGCCCCGTCTCTACCAATGGGTCATTAAGATATCATTTTTTTGAAAAATAAGATAAAATTCATTTGAAAAAAAATACCTTAGGAAAGTGATAAAGCATCACCCAATGAGGAAATAAACCCAAGAGACCCCACAATCAGCCAACTGGTCCCATACTAATACTTCTAGGACTGAATGGCAAAATCTGATAATCTTTTCTCCAAACAACCTCCATTACAGTCCGATAATACAAACTAAGGTATTATTTTATTGTCAAAAGATATTGTTTGTTTCCAAAGGCTTTCGGATGTCTTTATATTAAAAATTGTCATTTTAACTCCATCTTGGTAAAYTTTTACCAAGTTAGGKGATGGTTACCAGGTTGGCACATTTGGCACCTTATTTCCCAAGGGGCCATTAATATTTTTTTTGTTGAAGAATAAGATAAAATTCATTAGGAAAAAGAATAAATTAGGATGGTGATAATCCATAAAGTATTCCAAAAGCCCAACATTAATCTCACAGATCCAATACTAATACCCGTAGAACCGAAAGGCAGAATCTTATAATCTCTTCTCTAAACAACCTCTATCACCGTCCAAAAAACAAACCAAAATATTCTTTTATTGTCACATGATATTGCTTCTTTTCTACAGCTTTTGCATGCCTTTATATTTCAAATTGTCATTTTAATTCTATCCCGGTAATGTTTTACCAAGTTAAATGATACTTATCAGGTTGGCACAATTGGCCCCGTCTCTGCCAATGGGCCATTAAGATATAATTTTTTTGAAAAATAAGAAAAAATTCATTTGAAAAAAAATACCTTAGGAAAATGATAAAGCATCACCCAAGGAGGAAATAAACCCAAGAGCCCCACAATCATCCCACTGGTCCCATACTAATACCCTTAGRACCGAATGGCAAAATCTGATAATCTTTTCTCCAAACAACCTCCATCACAGTCCGATAATACAAACCAACGTATTATTTTATTGTCAAAAGATATTGTTTGTTTCCAAAAGCTTTCGGATGTCTTTATATTAAAAATTGTCATTTTAACTCTATCTTGGTAAACTTTTACCAAGTTAGGTGATGGTTACCAGGTTGGCACATTTAGCACCTTATTTGCCAAGGGGCCATTAAGATTTTTTTTTGTTGAAGAATAAGATAAAATTCATTAAGAAAAAGAATAAATTAGGATRGTGATAATCCATAAAGAATTCCAAAAGCCTAACATTGATCCCACAGATCCAATACTAATACCCATAGAACCGAAAGGCAGAATCTTATCATCTCTTCTCTAAACAACCTCTATCACCGTCCAGAAAATAAATCAAAATATTCTTTTATTGTCACATGATATTGCTTCTTTTCTATGGCTTTTGCATACCTTTATATTTCAAATTGTCATTTTAATTCTATCCTGGTAATGTTTTACCAAGTTAAATGATGCTTACCAGGTTGGCACATTTGGCCTCGTCTCTGTCAATGGGCCATTAAGATATCATTTTTTTTGAAAAATAAGATAAAATTCATTTGAAAAAATAATACCTTAGGAAAGTGATAAAGCATCACCCAAAGAGGAAATAAACCCAAGAGCCTAACAATCATCCCACTGGTCCCATACTAATACCTCTAGAACCGAATGGCAAAATCTAATAATATTTTCTCCAAACAACCTCCATCACAGTCTGATAATACAAACCAAGGTATTATTTTATTGTCAAAAGATATTGTTTGTTTCCAAAGGCTTTCGGATGTCTTTGTATGTCATTTTAACTCCATCTTGGTAAACTTTTACCAAGTTAGGTGATGGTTACCAGGTTGGCACAATTGGCACCTTATTTGCCAATGGGCCATTAAGATTTGTCTTYTTTTTTGTTGAAAATAAGATAAAATYCATTAGGAAAAAAAATACATTAGGATGGTGATAAACCATAAAGAATTCCAAAAGCCCAACATTGATCTCACAGATCCAATACTAATACCCGTAGAACCAAAAGGCAAAATCTTATCATCTTTTCTCTAAACAACAAGCTCACCAAAGCAATTTAATTCATTGAAATGTTTTGATTCCTTTTGCAGTTTGATCTAATCTTTATATGGTTTTTCATGTTGACAAATCATTTATTGAGATGTACATCTCCTCCTCCCTACCTTTTGTAGTTTGATTTAATATTGTTAGGTAATGAATTGAATGTGGACTACTACACATATTAGTGTCAATTACACTTCCATCATGTTATCACAATTTCCTTAAATGCCAAACTGATAAACTTTTACAATTTCCTTAAGTTTATTGATATGGATATAATCATTCGTAATTGGAATTAATGTCCTAGCATCAATATTTGAGTTATGTCACTTAATTCAATTCCTTCCTTTGGGCGACCAACATCAATTTTAATCCCTTCCTATTTCCTATTTCCTCCATCACCGTTGTGCTTAAGAAGGTGTGTATCACCGAAATTGACATGAGGTTGTTTGGTTGCATAGTATTTGTTATTCATTTTTTTCCTCTTGTTGAATGGTGTGCCAAGTTGTTTGACTTTTAATCAGACAAAAGGGTAAATTTTATACAATTGGTTTTATCTCAAGTTGATATACTTGGCACTATGAATTCTTCATTATTTCCTTATGTATATAAACTTGTTCCAACTGACATTGATTATTTTCTACAGATATTTACAACGCAAGATGCAAGTATATACTATAAATAGTATCACCCATTTGTCATGGGACAAACACCATTTGCACATTTTCTTGACTTCCTAGATGTAATGTCTGAGAAGTCACTTCTATGTGCACTTGTGAATTGTTGGGACATRCAGTCAGCTTCATTTAGGTTAGGGAGAAAGCTTGTCACATTCATGGCATCTRATGTAGCTTTGATTTTGGGTTTGCCTACGAGAGGCAAATTTGTAGATTTGTACATGACCCCACCATACATTACATCTACAAACGAAAATCTTCGGAAAAAAGATGATACAATGGGGTGATTTAGAAGAAAAAATTAGGGAGTTGTTAGGAAACAAGAAGGCAGAAAGGAAATACGTCCCAAAGTTGCTTATTGTTTATATATTGGGTCAATTCCTTTTTACAAAGACCTACTATAACATTGACTGTAAATGGTTTGAGTACACTGATAAGCTTGAAGAATTAAGAGATTATGATTGGGTTGTTACTGTTCATAGGGAACTACTAAATAGTTTGAATGAACTCTCTATGTCAATGATGAAGGAGGCACCACCCAAATCTGGGTGGCTACGTGGTTATGCTACTATACTCATCGTAAGTTTACATTTTGTATAAAAATTAATTCCATTTAATAAACCTTGTATGATAATGTTGAGTGAGTTCTTCTTATCTTGTCACCTGCAAATTTAGTTGTTTGAACATTCCACTGTATGGATTCCTTCCATGATAGATGCATTTCCAAGAATTGCAAAATGGTCTAGCACCACTTATCGTCGAAGGAGAACANTAAGAGATTATGATTGGGTTGTTACTGTTCATAGGGAACTACTAAATAGTTTGAATGAACTCTCTATGTCAATGATGAAGGAGGCACCACCCAAATCTGGGTGGCTACGTGGTTATGCTACTATACTCATCGTAAGTTTACATTTTGTATAAAAATTAATTCCATTTAATAAACCTTGTATGATAATGTTGAGTGAGTTCTTCTTATCTTGTCACCTGCAAATTTAGTTGTTTGAACATTCCACTGTATGGATTCCTTCCATGATAGATGCATTTCCAAGAATTGCAAAATGGTCTAGCACCACTTATCGTCGAAGGAGAACATATAGTGATGCTATTGCCATGCTTGYAGATGATGAGGTAATATAATGAGATTTTATCTATACTATCAATCTTCTAACATAGATTATTGTTCTAAAACATTTTGTGCTTCATTTTTTTTAAGGTTCTTAAAATTTTAGTTCCTGCCTCCAGTGAAGAAGTGGCTATGTTGGATGATGCAAAAGATGAGGAGGAAGGAGCCTCCTCAAATCAGGAATTGGTTTTGGTGCACCATTTCTTGTTTTCCCTTATAGCGAATTTCAAATTCATCATCCCCACATTGTGTGTACCTTAAATTTATGGACTCTGATATGTTAAACTTAAGAAAATACTCCATATTAGGGCCCACTAGCTGTTTATATCCCTTAGCTTCGCATTGCCTCCTAAATGTCAATTCTGTCATTTTCAAGCRAATTATGTTGACTAAGGACATGATAGGTTGTTCTCGTGCCTCTAACACCCATGCATTAAATGACTCTGCAAGATTAGATGTAAACTTATCATACCTTCTACCCTTGAATAGAGAATTTTCCCAATGTGGCGGATCACTATCCATTATCCAACCATAGATATCCAAATTCTGATTATGTATTTTACTGAGATAGAGATCAAACTTCACGGTATCCCTTGTATAAATTAATTGATTCACACAATCCTCGATTACCTCTTTTTCAGCCTTTAATAAGCGTAGACGGMACATGCATCCCTTAAGGTTTTCCATCAAATGTCTTGAACAAAAAGCATGATATTCAGAGTCAAACACAGTTTCTACTACATGGCGAATGCTAGTATTACGGTCAGAAACAATTACTACCTTCCGACCATCATTCAATGCAATTTTCAAATTCTCTAAAAACCAAGTCCAATCTGGAATTGACTCAAATGAATCAGCTGTGAACGCAACTGGAAACATTTGATTATTTGCATCATATGCATCGGCAGCTAATAATTGACCTTGATAGTTACCCTTTAAATGTGTCGCATCAATGAATAGCATTGGACGACAACCAACTCGAAAGCCATGTAAGGATGAGTGGAAAGCAACAAATAATTGATTAAACCTACCTGAATCATCAATGGTAAAAGTAGCAACTGTTCCTAGATTAGTCTCAACCAACTTTTTGCACGACCAAAGAATAAGCTTATACGAATCATTTGTAGACCCATTAAGCAATTCTTTAGCTCTCTCTTTCCCCCGCCATGCTTGTTTATAAGTTAGTGAAATTGCATGATTACGACTAAAATCCTTTATTATATCTAATGGAAGATACTTAGGAGAATCATGAAGCTTTTCCAACAAAACAACACTTATGAATTTATTTGATATATGAAGCTGACAACTTGATTCATCACCAACTGAATGTATATGTACAGGACTATACTTATACACCCTGTATGTTGGTCCGCCACTAACTGCACTTGCTCGAATTTCCTATCCACAAGTGTTGACAACACATCTACATTGTATGTATTCTCTATCATTCTTTAGAAACTTATATGCAAATCTTCTAGCAATAGAAAATTTATTTAATGCATTTCAAAAATCATCTCCACTATCAAATGTTTGCCCCACTCCAATTATCTCATGCTCCCAAACTGCTAACAAATTGGCATGATTGCTGATGTTAAGCTCAGTTATTGATTGTCTATAAGATGTTGCCAAATCATATACAATATGTGCATGAGGACTTGACTAAGTTTCAACATTAATTTGCTCTATGCCCTTCCAAAACACATGCACATTTGCACTCTCATTATTAAACTTCAACGGATTTGAAAGGTCACATAGCCCATTTAGTGGCAAAAAGCATATTTTGTTGAGATATGTTGTATAATGTAAGCTCACGCTATTAGCATGAGCTTTCAAACCACCACACACT